GGGAGGAGGGAGTGGCAAATGGGAGAGGCATCTGTTTTCCAAGAAGGCCACCAACTCAGGGCTCCGGGGTCTCCCTTGATCATTGTCTAAGGTCAAAACTAAGCCGTGCGTGGAGACGAGGTGCTAGACGCTCAGCAGGGTTAAGTGAAGATTTTATATCCCACACAGCCACGCACACGTGTCCAAGAAAGCACACTTCAGAGAGACACTGTGAGGGAGCCCACGAGGCGCCCTTGTGGAGGGAGGTCTGGTCGGCTGCCCGCACGCTGGCCCAGGCCCTCACGGGCTGGGAGCGCGCAGACCGGCTGGCGTCAGGGGCCAACTCTCTGGGCCACTTCCCTCATTTGTGAAATGGAAATAATGTTCCCAGCAGAGAGCGTTGTTAAAATAATGTATGTAACGGGTATAGCATTGGACATGACATTTACAAATAATTCACTTCTAATTACAAATAAACGACTTCTAAAAATTTTAACGTGAGGAGCCACAGCCCACACACAGCTGCAGTGTCCCCCTGATGAGTTTTCTCACGCACACACACCCACAGAGCCCCTCCACGGGGGAACCCACCCAGATCAAAATTCAGAGCATGCCCAGTGGCCAGGAGCACCCATCAATAGCCAACCCCCAAGGCAACCGCTGTTCCGACTTCTACCCCCACAGATGCATTTTCCTTGTCCCCGAACTTGATGCAAACGGAACCACACTGCGCATCCTCTTTGAGCCTGGCTTCTCTGGCTCAGGGTGATGGCTGTGAGGTCCGCCCACGGGTTCCACAGAGCCCAGTGGTGCCTGGCGTGAACACGCCACAACTTGCCTGACTGTTCTACTGATAGATACTAGGGTCAGCTCCACATGACACCACAATTCATCTCTTCTGCTGATGGCTCCTTGCGCTGTTCCTGCTTTGGGCGATTATGAACGGCACTGTGAATCCTCTCGCACGTCTCCTGATAGACACACGTGCACATGCCTCTTGGGGGGGTCCTGGGGCAGCTATAGGTTCAATGTTAGCAGACGTGGCCACGAAGTTTTCCAAAGGGGACCATTCCAGTTTATGTCTCCGCCACAGACGCATTCAAATTCTGGTTGCGCCCGTGGCGGCCAGTCCTCCCTGTGGCCATTCCGGTGGCTCTTTGCCGTGCGCCGTGCTTGAGCTTCCCGGAGCTCCTCCCAGGAGTTTACTGGCCGAGGGCACTTCCTCTTCCATAAAGGGCCTCGTGTCTTTGCTACTTTAAAAAGCTGAGTTACCTTTTCCTTGTTGTTTTGCAGGGGTCCTTTACACACCAGGGTGTGAGGCCTGTGTCAGGTTCATGTAATGCAAAAGTCTTTTCAAAGTCTTTCCTCTTGTAGTTAGTGCCATTCGGTCACAATTTTCGTGTTTTTATGTTTTATGTTATGTTTAAGGAGCCTTTGCCTGCCCCCAAAAAATGGCCACACCTTCTCACTCCTCACAAATGCTTGCTGGCTCCCCGTCATGCGCGGGTCTGTGGTCCGTCTCGGCGAACGTCTGTGAGGCGGGGCAGTGAGCGTCCCCATGACGGAGGTTTAAGTCGCCTAACGCGGCTCATGGAAAAGATCATCCTCGCCTCCCCGAATGGCAGCGACACCTGTTTGCGTAGGTGTGCACCCATTTCTAAACCCTCTGTTCTGTTTGGCATCACCACCACCACTCCTGTTGACTTTTAACGCTGACTCACAGTGCGAGCATAGATGGAAATGTACCTTTCTCGTAGAGACTGACGGCTGGAAGAGGCTCTCTGTACCAGAACACCTGTTTGTTGAGAATCTAAGTGCTGGACAATTCACAAACATGATGGCATTTTATATTCACCATAACCCTGAGGGGCAGGTCCCACTTTATAGACGAAGAAGCTAAAACTCATCAGAAGTGGCAGAATCTGGGTCTGACTGGCCCTAGAGTGGATGCTGTTGATACTATGCTATAGGGTTACCAGGCAAAAATACTGTTTGCTTATTATTCCTATAAACTATTACATTTCTGCATGCATGTGAAACTTACAAACGAGGTCTTTCGATACTAAAACAAAAAAAAAAAAAAAAAAGGAAAAGAAAAGAAGAATGAAACAAAGGGGAAAAAAAGAAAGAACCAAAAAAACAAAACAAAACCCTGTTTGGACTCTCATGCTATCCCTGTCCCCTCCCCCTCCAATAAAAACAACATTAAAAAACCCACATCAAGGACAGCTGATCAAAACATAGATCAAAAAAGAATGAAAGAAAAACATTTCAAATAAAGTTCAGCTGTTTCTATTTGGAAACAACAACAAAAAAATCCCACTTGCCACAATAAACTGACAAATAAGAAATAGACTCTGTGGTAGTGGAACTGGAACTTTCCGATGGCATCTGCTACTGTGTCATTACTGCGGGCGATCCGCAAGCGCGCGGGTGACTGAACAGCTGGGCGCCGGCTGGGCCTGTGTTGCCGAAGCAGCAGCAGCGGCCCTGGACGGGCCTTCCCAGTCAGCCACCCCCTGGAGGAGATGTCTTTTCCCTGAAACTAGGAATCTCCACCGGCCTCTGGAATACACCTCCAGAAACGGGCCAGTGACGAGCCTCCCAGCCTTGCCCTGGACACGCTTTCCCTGCCGCCAGCCTGGAGCCGCTAAGCCCCGCGGGCAGTCAGGGAACAGAGAGAGCCTCCTGCAGGGCCCCAGGCGGAGGGTCCCATGCAGAGACTCCGGGGGAGCCAGGACTGCGGTCCAAAGGCATGGCAGGCCCCCAGCCCCATCCTGTGTGGGAGATTCGTGGACATGGCGAGCTGATCCAGAGTGACCAGAGAATGGATGTATTTTTATTAACTGATACTTAATATTGGAAATGCCCCTAGTTGAAGCGTATCCAAAATATCTATTGCTTTTTAACGTAAAATACTGAAATTAAAGTTCAATAAAAGCTTGGCTGGTGCTAACTATTCTAAGAGGTTAAGCCAAACAAATTTTAACTAATATTATTGCCAAACCAAGCTTAATTAATTCACAAAAGAATCAAAGAGCTCATGGAGGAAACTCCTTTTGGCTTAGAACCACCCACCACCAACATACCCACACGTGCACACATGCTTCGCCGCGCTGCGAGGTGTTCCTCTACGTGTTCACCCTTTTACCCAACGGAAGTGGTACTGCAAGTGGCTCCCAGGTTCCTGCCAAGCACCCAGACGGATGGAGGTCGGCGCCCATTCACCGAGAAAGAGGGGCTGTTGGGCCGAGGGGCAATAGTGTAGTTCAACCCTGGACAGGACAGGTTTAGAATGTGGGTATGACACACGAGCAAAACGTGAGGCAGGGGGTTATCTGCCTGAGACTCAGGGGACGTTGTCAAGTTTAGGTGTAGGAGTCACAGGTGAGGAGACGCCAGTTACAGCCGCGAGAAGGCCCAGAATACAACTCCACCCGCGCCCCCACCCCCGCCCACGCCGGCAGGGCTCCCAGCCCAGCTCTGCCGAGGCCATTCCTGCCTGGATGGTCACAGTGGCCCCCCCACAGCACTGCCCGCCGTTCCGTGGAACAAGAAAGCGTCTGGGAACAAGTTACTGTGGCTTCTCTGTAGGGGTTCTGTCCCCTCCCAGTGACTAGAGAAGAGGCAGTGTCAGCATGTGACCTAGAATCAGGAGCCCACAGGACTTAGGTTCTGGGCCTGACCCTCAGGACAAGTTGCTGAGACTCTCAGTTTATCTGCTTGTCTCCACACAGGGGAGGATGGCCGATACCCGTGGCGGGCTTCGCAGCCCGGTCCAGAGTAAGGCAGGCAAAGCGTGGGGACACAGGGGACGGGCTCACTGCGGGGGGCCTGAGGAGGTGCAGGGATGAAGGACTGCGGGGGCGGGGGGTGGGCGGCTGGCACGGGAGGAGCCAGCGTGCTGTGTGCAGCAGCCTCTGGGTCCTGGGCTTTGCCAAACACCGCGGACTAGTGAGGCAAACCTTCCTTCCCTGGAAAGTCAGTGCAGGGCATGTAGGAGTGAAACAGGGTGAATTTCTTTTTCCCCCTAACAAATCACCTTCCGCATCAGGAATTCGACATCGCCTGCACCTGCATGCTCTCTCACTGCTCACCTGTGACACAAAGCTTTCTCCTTTCCTCCTTCCTTTTCCTTTCTGGAGCTAAATAACGCAGAGCTCCGCCGGAGCCCGGCTGGATGCCTGGCGGCGCCGCGCCGCCCCAGCTGCGTCTCGCCCGCGAGGAGAGGCTGCCGGGCCGCCAGCCTGCCTGCCTGCTGGGCGCCGTGCTCTCTGTGAGAGGAGCTGCTTTTCTACTGCTCATCAGTCAAATGGCAGCACCTTTCGCACAGGTAAGCATTTCAGCCTACTTGCTTTGAAGCACTCGATTGTCATCAGCACCTTTTCTGCTTTTGGCAGAAGCCACAGTGAGGGGAATTTTATTTTGAAACACACCCCCCATCTCCGCTTCCTCTCTCCTGGGCTGGGCTCCTCACTGTCCCCACAGGCTCCACTCTCAAAGTCCCTCCACCAGGTTCACCCCTGTCCCCTACCCACACGCAGTTAGCACAGGCCATGCAGTAGCAGGGCAAGGACTGGGCGGGGCTTGCCTCTCACCAGGGAAGGTCCTGAAATTAAACAGTTTCTCAAACAGGCTGCATGGGCCCTCTGGTTCGTCATCCCCGCACCAGACCTGCTCCCTACAGCACAGCGCCTGGGTGCACGGTGCCTGCAGGACCCCGGAACACACCGGAGACTCCAGGTGGCTGGTTCAGCCCAGCTGCAGTCACAGGGGGTCCCAGACAACCTGTCAACAACAGGAGTCCGGTGCCACAGTAACAGTTCTCCCGAGAGCGTCCCGTTCACCCTGAACACGCCGGCTCGCGCCACCGCCCAGGTTGCACGGGGCCGTCCAGCCACAACCTCGAGAGAGCAGCTTCGTTCTCAGGAACAAGCCAACAAGCTCACCGGCCAGCCACACAGCCCAGGGAGCCCGGGGGGCGGCGGGGACTCCTGCCCACAGCTCCCACGCAAGGATACAGGGGTTGCTGTCATCCAGGCTGCAGCTGTCCAGGATCAGGGGGATGCCGTCCAGCTCACTGACCTGGGGAGAAGGGAGAACACACATTCAGACACGGCCACGCCTGGGACATTCCTTACGCATTGCTCTACTGTTTGTGCAATCATCAACCCAGAAATATTTAACAGCAGATAGGTAAACAAAAAGTGATACTTTTCCTTTTTCCCCTTCCTCAAAAATGCTGGGGCAACTGGGAAGCCAGGTAAATAAGGATAAAAGTAGGTTTCTTTCTGACATTGTTCTCTGGGAAAAACTCCAAATGGACCTGAGTTTTCTACAGTTTACTAATGCTAGTAAGTGAATTTTTCTCAGCCAGGAGTGGGAAAAGCTTTTCTAATTATGATTCAAAATCAAGAAGCAATAAGGAACAGGTTTTACTGGATTTTTTTAAAAAAGGCAAATAAAAACTGGAAAAATTATTTGCAAGATATCATAGGCAAAGGGTTAATATTTTAACATATAAAGAAACAAAAATTGAGAAAAGACCAACGATCCAATAGAAAAATGGATGAAATACCAGAACAGCAAAGACACAGAAAGAAATGCAGGTGGACCATAAAGACCGCAGAACATGCTCCGCTCTGTTCACAGCGAGAGGAAGGCGAGTTCCCGTCCCATGGCGGGGGCCGTCCTCAGTGGTCAGAGCAGCAGATGCCGTGACCGCAGACTCTGCGGGAGGGGGACAGGGAAACAGGGAAACGGCACCCAAGTTCCTTGCTGGGGTGAACGCCAAACAGAGCGCCCGTGGAGGGGACCCGGGCAGGATGCAACCAAACCACGGACTATTTACTTTTTTGACCCAGTAACCCCCTTTCTAGGACCGCAGAGCAAATATACACGGTCACATGAACTTAAATTTGCACAAGGTTATTTACTGCAGCACAATTTATATTTTTATAAGTTTTATTGCTATTATAATTCTTATACCATAAAACTCACCCTCTTTGCTCAGGATTTAGCGCATTCGCCAGGTTGTGTAATCATCAGCACTGATTTCAGAACAATTTCACCTCCCAGGGGACACCCCCTCCCCCACCGCCATCCCTCCCCTGTCCTTCGCCCTCTGGTCCTGAAGACTGTTCGCTGACTTGTCTGTCTCCGTGACAAGCCTGCTCGGGAGGTTTCACACGAGTGGAATCGCTCCACGTGGGCCTGTGTGGCCGGCCCCTGTCACGGAGCACAGCGGTTTCCCGGGCCCCCGGGCCACAGCCGGTGCCCACGCTTTGTTGCTTTTCACGGCCCAGTCACAGCCAATTGACTGCGCGTACCCTATTTTAGTTACCCATTCAGCTGGCAATGGCCATTTGAACTTTTTCAACTGTTTGGCTATTATGACAATGTTATTATAAACACCTGTGTACATGTTTTTGTGTGGACACGTGTGTTTAATTCTCTTATATACCTAGTAGTAATAGAACGACTTGGCTTTTAGGTAACACCATGTTTAACATTTCGAGGAACTGTCAGGCGGTTTTTCAAAGTGGCCGTACCGTCTGACAGTCCACCAGCCATGCACAAGGGTCCCAATTTCCCCACGCCCTCGTTAACGCCCATTGTTGCCGGCATTTCGGTTCAGCCGTCCCAGAGGGTATGCAGCGGTAGGGCTCTGTGGCTCTCTGAAAACTAATGAATGATTCTGAATGCCGGCAATATCCATAACGGCCAAGATCGTGGGAACAGCTCGGTGGGCACCGACACAGACCGGTAAGCAAGCTGCGGCACCCATGAGACAGCGTCTCTGCAGCTGCGACGACGGACGGAGAAGCCTGCTAGCACCTGCTGTGGGGGACGGCCAGGGCCTAACCATAAGCCGTAAGCGAGGTGCAGAATGGGCTTGTATGTGACCCTCTGGTGTGAAAGAGGAGGTGAAATAGATAGATGTCCTTATAGTCCAAAAAGAAACAATAAAGCGTTAAATAAAAAACAAGTAACAGTCATCTAGAGCTTAGGAAAAAAGAGAACAAGGCGGTGGAAACAGGAACAGAGGCCAGACATCCGTGAACATACCAGGCTGTACAATACCGGCTTTGGAATCCTGTATGTATTTTATGTAATTTTTAAAAATTAAATTTTATAAAGTTATAAAAATAGAAACAAGTTAACCTGATGGCACATAAAACAAAGGAAACTTACTTCACGGAAATAAATGAGGATTTTAACGCCACATCTCCAGGGAGATGTGTGCCCCCGAGGCCCACGGAGAACTGCCAGAACCTCGGGCCGCATCCCGCCTGCTGAGTGGGACAGGGACGGGTACTGCTGTTTCGAACCGTTATTTACATTTTTAATTTAAAGCAAACAGGTAATTAATCATTAGGAACCAAGATTTTCAGCATAAAAAAGTTAATATTGCATTTAAATTAGAAATGTTAGTGTAAATTCGAGATCTATTTTTCCTTTTTCTAAAAAATCCTCTTTTCCTAGCCACCCACTGAAAAGGCCTAGAAGCAAAGACGGCCCCGCAGCCGTGAGCATCGTGGTGTAAGGAGAGCTGTTCTAAACATCGGCCCCACCGCTGAGACGGGCTCCCCGCGGCCCGTGCAGCAGCCCTGCTGAGGGCAGGGGAGGGGGGCGGACCTGAGTCCTGTGACCTGGTCTAGGCACTGAGGAAGAGGGGACATGAAGTGCTGTTAACAGACACCTGAGTGATTGCACTGAACTCTTGACGACGCCAGGTAAGAATTCCTGGTTCCATTTTCCAGACGATGGAGAGAGGCTCACAGGAAGCCCCCTCCCGGGGCCCCCTGATTAGCAAGTGCCGTCCAACACAGGGTTTGGGGAGCACCGCCCGCCTCCAGGGAGACAGTGAGCGGGAGGCGCTCAGCTGTGTCTGCTGAACCCTGCAATACCACCTGGGTGTGAGTTTCCTGCCTTTTAGAAACTTGAATTTGTTTAGTAATTCCTTCGTACTATGTTTTAAAACACAGAGAAGCTGGCGTGGAGGCTTGGACTGCTGCACAGGGCTAGACCAGGAAGCGGTCACGTGTCTGAGAAGCACAGGGAACTTTACAGCCGAGCGGGCTGGGAGTGTCCCTGAGACTAGACTCTGAGCTTCCAATGCAGCCTGCACACCCCTAGGTCTCCCGTGCCTCGCCATGCAGCCCCCAGCAGGATGGGGTGCTAACCAGCAAGTCTCCAAATGGGAACAGAGAGCTCTGCCCAAAGCCTGTGCCTTGGGGTGAAGAGGAGAGACCCCAAGAAGGACCGAGGTCTGGTGACGGGCACGGGGTGAGGGGCAGAGTGGCTCCCGCTGCTCCTCACCACGGCCGCGTTTGTGCGCTCAGGCCTGCTTCAGCGAGGGCTCGCTTGGCAGGGGGCTGGCGGAAGGCTCCCTGAAGAAGAGACCTCAAGGTGAGGAGGAGGAGCAGGAGGTAAATGGACGCAAAGGTAGGGGCTGGTGTGTGGCATGTGCGGAAGCTGGCAGGTGAGAAGGACCCAGAGCCAAGCGCGGGGCCCACAGCCGGCTCCGACAGCCCTTCTGAACCATGTGGCTCTGGGCAGGTCCCAAACCTCTGAGACAGTGTTCTCATCCGTAAAAGGGAGATGCCAGGGACCAATTTCCAGGGTGACTGAGGATGGAAAGGATGAGCACGTGAGGCCAGCGCACAGTGGCTTCTCGGAGGCGGCGGGGGAGGGGGCAGACCGCAGAGAGTCGGCCGGGTCCCAGGTGTTTGCTGACACTCACTGGCCACAGCGAGGAGGTGAGTGGGAGCTCCTGAAGGCTGCAGCTGCAGGGCAACCATCACCCAACCGAATACACAGGCCAACTCTGTATTAGGCGAAACTGTAAATGTATTTTCAAAAACCAGGGTTTGTTTTGTTTGTTTTTGTTTTTGGTAAGAAGTCGGACCTATATTATTCAAGGCAAGAGAAATATCGCATTTTCCTGTGGAGACAGAATTCTCACATACGCTAAGTGGGTAAGACGTTCTTTGAGGGAAATAAAATCACGTGCTAAGAACGGCAATTTGAGCAGGCAGCAAATGAAGGTTACAACAGAATTGTAGCTGAATTGGCGTATGCTTCCCTAGTTAAATATTTCTCATTCACACCAGTGAATTATGCAATGACACAAATTTTTATATAAGTTCATTGAATGTTTATAACATAAGTGACCGATGGTGAACAGGGCATTAGACACTTGAGAACGAACAGAGGGCAGGACACTAGGAGAAGAGCACATGCACAGGACACCTTCAGGAGGGACAGCCAGCATGGTTGTTGCTACCAAGCTCAAGTTCATGGCTGCAGCTGCCCGTGCGGGGCTCACATCTAGGGCAGCAGAGAACAATTAGGAAATTAACAAGTTTTCTTATGTTCTCACTTCATAAAACAAGGAAGTTGTTTGTTTTTCTACCCAACATGTTGGGAACTGATCCCAGGCCCACAATAAACAAGTCATGGGCTGTGGCTCACGGGAAGGAGCCAAGCGCAGTCGACGCTCTCCCGAGCAGGCACGTCTCACCAGGGCCGCCCGACCAGCTTGTGCAAACTAACACTTCGCCTCGGGACGTGCGTGACGTGCACGCAGACGGATGGCAACGGGACTTGCTAACTGGTCTCTCCCACCTTAGCCAGTAAGCTCAGACAAAGTGCTCTGCAAGTGTGCTGGCCCGCCCCTAATGTCTATGCTCCTTGGGGAAGATGTATAGGTGGAGAGAAAACAGAGCCTCAGTTATTCTGGCCACTCTCCCATCGTGTGGCGAATGAAAAAACCAAACCAACCCCGAAGAAAGGCAAGAGCACGTCACCAACGCAGGACCGGCTCTCCCGTTTAGATCAACAGTGAACCGAGCCGAACCAGCATTGGGCAAGCTTGTTCTTAGCATGGCTCCGCCCAACCAATGCGCAAGTACAAGGTCAACAGGCCCTCGCCCTGAAGTGGGGGGTGAGCAGCGCGGGTGTGACGGTGCTCAGACCAGGCTCCCACCAGGGACAATACCCTCCCCAGACATGCTACCACTGCTTGGCGTGGTCTGGCTGTGACGCGTTTGCGTTTGCCTGATGACTGGCGGTGTGGAGCG